GGTAATTTGTGGTTATTATGAAAGTGTTGAACTCAACTTCATGGTTCCTGGACATACTAAATTTAAATGTGATGGTAATTTTGGCATGATTAAAAAACTCTATAGAAGAACCAGAGTAGATTGTTTAGATCATGTGGTTGAAGTGATAAAAAAGTCTAGTCCAGCAGGATTGAATAAAGCTCAGTGTTATGAAGGTGGAAAAGGTTTTCAATACTTAGATATTAAAGCAATTTTGGGAATTTATTTCAAGAAATTACCAAGTATACAGAAATATCATCATTTTCTTTTTGAAGCATCTAATCTTGGTATAGTGAAAGTTCAAGAAGTTGCCAATGGATATTTTGTTGAATTCAATTTATTGAAAATTAAGAGAGCAGATATTTTTGAAGAAATTAGAGCTTTATCTATTTTAGTGTTAACACCTCCTCCTTTGGATTACAAAAGACAAGAATATCTTTACCAGAATATTCGCCCATTTGTGAAAGATGAATACAAAGATGTTACTTACCCAAAACCATTCTATATTGGAAACAAATAAAATATTCAGAATAAAATCACCTCCATCACTAATTTACTGTCATTAAGTTTAATAAGTTTAACCTTTTGACAAATATTGTTAGTTTTAAAGTAAAAAAGCAGTAAAATAATTTATATACTTAATATGCCCATAAAAAGGATATAAGTATATTAAAAGAAAAAAAAAAGTAAAATCATGACAAACCAAAACAACATTTTAACTGAAGAGGAAATAAAAGAACTAATTGGTAATTTAAACTGAAATCCAAGTGAGGCAGAGATAGGGGCAGTTATAGACTATTTTTGACTTCGCCCTTATGCCTTGAAACATTTAGAAGACAAAGAATTTAGAAAAAGTTTTGTTTGTCTTATTTACCTGCATAAGATTGCACTTGATGGATACAAAAAAGCTGATAAAGAAGTTAAAAGTTTAAAAATAGAGAGGAATGAATTGAGTGAAAGCAACAATCAATTAAAAGAAAAGAATACTATTTTAGAAAAGAACATTGAAAATTTAGAAGTGGAACAAAAGAAACTAGAAGCAACAGTAGATTTAGAAAGAGAAAATCACTTGGAGTTTGTTGATGTATCTGAGGTTTGACACAATAAAAAGGTGTCAGAAATCACTGAACAAAAAGATGCTGATTTAGCAAAGGCTTATCAGCGGGTGAAGGAGTTAGAAGATATTTTACTAGTCAAGAATAGCCAAATCAAGAACCTTAAAGAAAGTAAGAATTTAAAAACATACAAGTTCAAGCAAGTGATAAGCAAACTTAGTCAAGTAAAGAACAAGGCTCAAGAAAAGTTTCAAGCTTTCATCATTCAGAAAGAAAAGTAATAAACATGAAGTTAGAATACAGAATTATTGAGGTAACCAAAGGCAGTAAGTGGAATTGTAATTTTTGTTCTTATGATAAAGGGAAGGCTTCAATTGCCACTCATGAAATGATAGCTTGGAAGTCTAATGGCTATGCTGATGTTGCTTATATTTGTAGTGATTGTAAGAAGGATTTTGACAATGATACTCTTCCTTGATGTGAAAAGTGTGGTAGAATAAAAAGAAATAGGATTAGTTGTTTTTGTAGATTAGTAGAAGACAAAGATGCCGAACCAGCTTCTGAGGAAACTATACTTGCTCAAGCTTACAGTTCTCAATTGGAAAATAAAACCAAAGAACTGGAAAAGGAACTGTCTGTTACTAAAGAAGAGTTAAAAATTGAAAGAGAAGAAGTAGCCAAATTTCAGGAAAAATCTGAAGAGTGAAGTAAAAAACAGAAACAGGAGTTATTAGATAAGATAAAGAGTTTAGAAGAGAAAATTAATCATCTAGAAGAGGAAAACAGGAAATTAAAAGATCAACAAAATGGTCAATTAACTGCTCAAATTGAAGT